CTATCCACATCGATCAATGAGAATAATCACAAGATATGAAACATTACTGAATAATCTCAATTTACACTTATTTTCAGTAGGTATTATTCTAGTGTTTTCCTTCGGACCCGTAGTTTTACATAGCTTATGTATGAATCGGTAGGTCTGAGCAAATTTTTTGTGCTTCTATATCATTCCAATGAATTTTTCAATCATTACCGCTTGTAGTTTCAATAGAGATAAACATTAATCCATTCTTGAGACTTGACGCAGTGTGCGGCACAGCATTTATATAATTCTGTTTCAGTTTACCTTTTTTAAAGGTTTGAAGCACTTTATACGATCGCATCGCTAGTTTTCTTTATTTCTTTATTTCTATTTTTATTAACACGACCCGTAGCACTGTATTTATGTAGTCCCTCACCAGTTTTGTTTTTTCTTCTTTCTTTTCTTCTTTTTTATTTTACTTTCTCAACATACGTACCAAATACATCGTTTTGGGATGCAATGACCTCGAGAACGAAAAATTCGTAAATATTCGTTCAAAGGCGAGATGAGAGCTTTCAGATTGAACTATTCACAACTTTTTCCCTATCTTCTTGAAGACGTGCCCTTTGTTAGCAAATATCATCCTAAAAAAACCAATTTTGCAGAACTTCGATTTTCTTCGAGCTTCCACCCGAATACGAAATGCGATGCGAAACACAAATCTTGAGAATCGAAAAAATGGATTTTAAATCTGAAACGAATAATCGCTCTGAGTATCTGTCCTGATTCGCTTTCGTATTGTAGCATCCAACTTCTAGGGCCATGGAAAATAATTTTGAGTCACTTTTCAATCGACAAAGAAACATTTTTATCAAAAAGCTGATCTAACTTGGTTCCAACATAATAAGCAGCTATTCTAAAATTCATCACTACAGGAACTCTAACAAACCGTAGCGATAGACTTCTACAAAATGCTGCTAAGTGATCGATTAGTAATCTCAAAGATTCATTATTTATAATCACCTGTATCCACAGCTTCTTGACACATGAGAAAAGAGAATGGCGCTTAACTTTCTTTTATCTTTTCCATTTAGACTACCTCAGAGCGAGAAAAAAACAAAGTCGATTCATATTTGTCATTTTCAGACGTTCTTTATAACGAAACAAAACATCTTCCAGATGGCGTTGCAAAAAAAGGCATTAGTTCGATCTCGATACTAGCACTTTGCATTCGAACGAGATGTTTCTAATTTTTGGTTCTTGAGATCATTGCGACAGAAAACAATCACGGGTGTGGGTAGATGTGAGTGTCGGTGTGGTGTAGGATGTTATTGCTTCATCCCACATAACTCGGATATATTCATGCGAGATCCGCATCCACACAATCAAACATACGCCTACACCCATAAAAATTGAACAAATACATAAATGAAAAAACAATGCCATCTCTATTTTGCCGAAAAACTGTTTTATCCTCTCGTTCAACTTTCTCGACATCATATGTAATTATAGCTCATCATTAGTACTACATTTTTTGTTCCAATATCGAGTCAGAAATTTTTACCTCGAGTAGCACCGAAATGTTCACTTCGATTTTGTTTTATTGCATTCCCATGTATTTTTTTAATTTGGTGATCAAATTAGGCTGAACGTTCTAAATTGATCACATAAGTACTGTAATATAAAATTGTGACAAAAACATCAAATACTAAAGTCGGCGCCAGAATATAAGGCAAATGGTTCTTTTTGAATAACTGAAAAACCACGAAAGCTATCGACCTGGGATTTTCAGCAATAGAAAGAAGATACTCGAGGCTACATTTTTACTAACAAACTCAATTCCTAAAAGTCTTTCGGTATCGGAGTTTTGAAAGATTTTCTGAAAAACAAGAATTTTGCTTAAAAGTTTCAGATAGAAACCTATCGTTTTTTTCCATAGATAGATAGTCCTGTGTCTCCTCTAAAAATCTATATTAGACAATAGGTGGTTCTTTCCTTTCCCTATCAGTTGCAGGCCATTTTTTTTCGAATCACTAGGACTTACCAATCCTTCAGGCTAGCGATTTCCAAAATACTTGCAAAAGTACGTTATCGACTATGCTAAATCTTGTAGCAATGTTTTTTTTTTACTTTTCGGATTATATTTTCTTGATCAATGGTACATGGAGATATATATACATATAGCTAGTGAAATTTCTATACATGATGCTTCGTTTATTCTTTCTAATGTGTTCTATGTCCGAAAATTGATAATCGACAATACCAATTATTTAAGTTCCTTTCAAAATTCTAGTCCTCGAGACGGTGCTAGCCAACAAAATGTGAAAATTTCATGGGAAATACGGTACTCTTCATGTAGAGTAATGAAAATTGTGTTTGATTCGTGGCTCAGAATGGATTCAAAAACTATTATCATAGTTCAAAGAAATCATAAACCCTTGATTTCTGCTTTATTTCATTTCTAGCTATCACATGCCAGTTTGTACCTGTTTAAAACGTTTTCATGGGAATAGAGCGCATAAGAAAGAATAAAAGAAGCATCATATATAGAAATTTCGCTTACTATATATATATCTTCATGTACCATTGATCAAAAAAATATCATCCGAAAAGTAAAATAAATACTGCAACAAGATTCAGCATAGTCGATAACGTGCTTCTGCCAGTATTTTGGAAACTGCTAGTCTGAAGAATTGGTAAGTCATAGTGGGTGTGGGTATGAATGTTGTCTTGACCGGATCCTACATTCATACCCACATCCACGAATACATTCCACACTCACCCACACCCACATTCAACATCCTTCAACGAGTAAGTATATGACATTTAAAAGTACAGTCTCTTCAAAAAGCTTTTGTGGTCTTCAAGTAGAACCAATAGCCTTCTGTCGTGTTATTTTCGTATCATTGTGATTGCTTGTCTCAAGAGGTAAATTTTACAGGTCTGTACGAAATTAATATCACAGAATAACTATTGCAACGTCACTCTACTAATAAAGAGTCTTTAACGTAAATTATCAATTATTTTTGTGAATTCCACCGTAGAAATCTAACCATTCAATATTGTTTTATTTTTTATCATACACAAAGATTCGTCTTGCTGGAAATAAAATTCAATACCGTGAAATAATATCTTCAGAGCGAATAGGTTTACCAGCATAATATTTACTAATTTTTGTACAAAAACAACGAGACTAATTAATAATGCTGTAAGCGTATCAAACTTAAAATTTTTATCCATCGATCGCGCTCACTCTAGTTTCAAACTATACGAACAAATTAAAATAATATTCCTATTAAATTTTGAGAGATGTATTCTTTGATTATGATTACAGACTCTTCTATAAAAGTCTTACAGAGCTCAATAAATTTTAATATTCGTGAATTTTCTAAAATATCCATGCTGCTCATTGTATTTTTCCCTAGCTCAAACTTTTGGTTTGTGAAAGGGCCATTTGGCAATACTATACGAAGTTAGCTGAATTTTGAAATGATGCCATCTCGAATAGTTTATGTTGAAGTAGTAAGATAAAGCATGCGACATAATGTCGGCACAACACTTAAACATACTTGGTTAAATATTGAATGAGTCGTGAAAGCTAGCAACTAGCAATTTCCGGTTTTTCAGGAATCTACAGAGAGAAGACATGGATACATTCTTTTCTCCAATAAATTATAGCACAAACATCATTTTCAAATGAATGATTCCACAACATATTTAGAAAAATATATGAAAATAGTTTGTCGTTTCGTTGAATTTTTGTTGACAAATAAGAAAATTTGCTTAAAAATCAACAAAACTCCACATTACTTGATCAAACGCATACACAATTTTCTTTTGCTTAGGATAAGACTCTGGGAAGATAATCATACAAATTGTTTCATACATTCTTTTGGATATTTTGCGAAAATCATTGCTTTCAAAATGGTATTTCCTTGTGTTCTTCAAAATACATTATAGAAGCTCAATTGATTTACAACAAAATGATCGTTCGGTTACGAATTCACTAACAAGCTAACTTTTAATCTGTTCGAATCTTTTTCAATTAGGAGACAAAAACTGTTTAATGAAATGTTTCGATCGAAATCAAAACTGCTCACACCAACTTGATTAACTATCACTAACATTATTACTCCTTTCTCGTCATAACATGCTCTTAAACGATATCTTTTCTTCCTTTATCATTAACTGTGGTTCTGGACAGGAGACTGACTCAATGCAATGCTCTTCTGGTGAATTACTTGAGCTTCCCAGATACACTCACTAATCAGATATTAGTCACAAAGATCAATGTATGTCACAACATAATCAGTTTGCTATCTTGCAAACAGCTTAAGAGAAATGACCGTTAGTGATAAGTGCAAGATTATTTCATGTCTTGTAGTGCCGAGGCATGAGCACATGCACATTGTAGTACATGATAAATAACTTAGTAACTCAGACATATCAGTAATATGTTAGACCATACATAAAGTAAACATAGTTTGCCAGATGATTTCAATTGTTGTAGTCTTTTAGATTTCATAAATATGATGACATGTTGTAACAGTATATGGGTATTTATTTTGATATGGTACATGTCATCAGTTGGCTTTGCTTTGTTTCTTCAAAAATATTTCAACTCCGTGAATTCATACAACAATAACCGAGACGTTTTCTCAATTATATGCGTAGCAGCATTCATTCAAAATTTATCGTGTTGCCTGGGAACAATACTAATACATGTAACAACAATTTTATTAAATCAAACAAACAATGATTTATCAATAAATCAACCATTTCTCACATATTTGGTTAGCATAAAATATTCGAAGAGAAACCAAATATTTTTTATTCTTGGTGGCTCATCACATTGTATAGGAATACTGATTATGAATTTGATGTTGGTATTGTCAAATATACCTTGTGTTCATACAATACGTGCTCTAGAGCCACTATTAGCAAGTATTCTAGTATATTTGATACCTATGCCGATAAAAGACGAGCATAAAAATGAATCCTCAAAGATAGAAAAATGGATTGGAACTTTTCTGATGTTATTCGGTACTATACTAGCAACATGGCAAAGTGGTCAATGTAATTTATTGAGTACGACAATTCTGCTTGGGATATTAAATAGTTTTTCAATAATTGTTCGAAATATTTGTATTCAACATTTGACTGTTAAAAGTAAAGATATATATATAACAACTATTTTATTTGGAATAAGCACATTATTATCATTAATATTACTTCTCATGAGTGATTTCTCTTATTTATTGATTTCAAAATATCGAATCCTATTGTTACTGGTAGGTTTGTGTAGTTTTATTTATAATACAACATCAATAATAGTGTGTAGTCAAGTATCATTAGTTACACATAGTTTAATAACAATGTTAAAACGACCAATATTAATTTTAGCATCAACTATTTATTTTCGTTCTTATATAAGTTCAATGATGATTACAGGCAACTTAATTATACTTCTTGGCATTCTATTTTATAAAACGAATTCAATAATTGTTTCACTTATGTCACGTACGAAATTAAATATTATTATTACTTTTATTATTATTTTAAGTGCTATTATTATATATAATACAAGAGTTATAGTTTCTTCATTATCTTTTTCAAATCATAAAAACTCATTACGTGTTGACAATGTCAAACTAAATAAAGATTTCCCATTATTCTATTACAAACCCAATAGTATGAATGATAATTTCGGCGATAAATTGTCTCACATACTCGTACAATCTATTGTTAACTTTAATCTTACAGTTGTCACAAATTTTCGAGAAAAATCGTTTTGTAAAAAGCCAAAATTATTAGCAATTGGTAGTATAATTCATTTTGCATGTCCACATGATGTTATATGGGGTTCTGGTCTTCTAGATTCTTCACATTTTATTCCTCGTTGGAAATCCCTATCAAACCTTACAATTGATATAAGAGCTGTACGTGGTCCACGAACGAGACGCATTCTTATGTCAAAGTTTAATCTGACTATACCAGAAATTTATGGTGATCCAGCATTGTTATTGCCTTATTATTTAACATCATTTAAGAGATCTACAAAACCAATAATTCGAAGACTTCTCATACTACATTATAGAGACGCTTCTGGAAATATTAGCATCCCCGAAGTAAGTCGAGTAGTAACAGTGAGTGCATTTTTACCATGGAAAGAATTGTTGAGTTTAATTGTTCAAAGTCAATTAGTAATATCAACATCATTACACGGAATTATTTTAGCAGAAGCTTTTGAAATACCTGCTAGATTATTAAAATCACCCCTTGTTGATTTATTCAAATTTCATGATTACTATGAAGGTACGAATAGAACTCTTCGATATGCAACAACCATTGCTAAAGCTATTGCAATGGGAGGAGAAAATTCACCAAAAATCAACTTGACAAAATTGATAAATGCTTTTCCATTCGACAAATTTAAAGCTGAATAAAATCAAAGTTTATTTATGATGAAGATGTAACAATCGAAAACAGATGGACTTGTCTGTTAACTGTGAAAAATCTGATAGTCTCAATGTTTGTGTTTCAATAATCGATAATGTCAATCCGAGTGCGTTTTAGAATTCATAATATTAACTTGAAAATAAAAACATCAATTAAAATTCTCACGATTTTTTTTTGGGCTTTACTGAAGGGTCTCTTAATGAGAATGTGTCTGAAAATGCTTTTATCTTGTAAGAAGAATACAATAATTATTTTTTATTGCTGCGTTCTGATGTTGTGGCTCAGAAGCTACAGGAAGTTTATCATTTAAATTTTGAAAAATCAATCATGACATACTCACGTTTATACTCTTAGTTCCATTGGCAGAGTTTCATCGAATAATTCATTCCGTAATAAACTGAATTTTTTTAAAATTGTTTCATTGAATTGTCATTAGTGTAGTGCATTATGAGTTGATTGAACAATTTTTCTTTGTCTCGATTTTTGTGAATTTGTAGTTTAGCATTGTTTTCGATTAATTCTTGCCGATTTATTCAATGGGCATTTGTGTATCATCCAACAATGAATATAAAGGTGATAATGGAAGTAAATAAGTTGGCTTTTCTAAGGATGAAACCACTTAAACAGTATAGAATACTGCTAAAAAGATAAATCCTCCTTCGTTCTGATATGTTTTGCATCGTTTTTGAATAATGTATGGCTCGATAAAAAGCACTTCATACAATTTTTATGAAGATGTGTCGAGAATAGTCTGATGAAAATAGTGAAGCATGTAGTTCTGCAACTATTTTTATAATTGACTGATGGATACACATAACCGTTTTCTATGATGACTTTTTTTAAAACAATGGATCAGCTGTCATCTCAAGTAAGCAAAAAATGAGTGACGATTGGCGACATGACTAGTCCGAAATGTCCGCGATACCCGCTAGATCTAGTCTGCGACGTCTTCTGTGTCTGATGTGACTTGTTACTCTGACAAGAAATGTCCAGTAACTGATTCCAGACTAGTCCAGAATGTCCTCAAAACCAGTTATGTCTAGTCTGTTTGTTCAACTACTCCGTTCAGACTAGTTCCCCGAACAGAAAAAATAAAATATGCCTAAAAAAGACATGGATTCGAACATCTGACAAGACTTAATATCGGTCGGATATTCTGACGTAAGACAATGGCTTACTAATAGACTGACGTCAGTTTGTGCAGCCTAAATATCAAGTTCACGCTCTTATTTTTACTAAATGATTTAAAATAGGTCGAAGACAAACAATTTGGCTTCAGCAAAGTGTATTCAATAATAATAGAGAGTTGTCTAATCTGTTTTCATTACATTCATTACAAGTTTGCTTTTTTTATTCAATGTCAATAATAATTGGAACTGGTATGAGTTTCTAGTACCATTTTTGTTCAACTAAACTATTTTAGTAACTAATATCCATTTCAAATTCAAAGAGACGGTCAGTGTTGATCGAATATCTCCATAACGATAATGGCTAGAGACCTGCGATCTTTTTTGGTCGATAGCCCTATATGGGGCAAGTAAATTATGTGCTAGGAACGAAAATTTTCAAACGTGTCTTCATGGAGTTTTAGGGCTTTTTTCGAAAAAAATCCAACACTGAAGGTATTAACAGTGCTTATATATGATTGTTTTTCATATTTATATTTTTTTAAACATTTTAAAATTGTATCGGATGTTATACATTGTGACCAAGTTTTTAGAAACCGTGGACATAGTTTACCAATTAATTTAATGCTATTGAAGTGTTGTCGATAAGTATCAACATCGAGATCTTTCATATGCGCTATTTCATATACAACTGTATAAAAATCTTTACGAAATGGTTGATAATATATTTTATCATGATTGTTTATGATAATATCTGCTTTCGATTTTTTACGATTCATAATAAATATATCATTAAGATCTTTATTCAGTTTCGTCCTATCGTCTTTGGATGAATATTCTAAACCATCAATATCTTGTTCCATAATAGAACTTTTTTTTTCAACACGTGATAGAACTGATGAAGATTGATCATTTGTATCCATGAATTTAGTTTCAACTATTGAGGAATCATTATGATGATCATCAGTAGCTGATTCTGCTTCATTGTTCGATTCCTTCGTTGAATGTAGTATTTGATTTACTTGATTCATTTTTAACTCAATAAACGATACTTGTATATTATATGGAATCGGCGGGAAAAAGAGATAAATATGTTATTTATAACTTAAATTAATAGAATTTATGCACTGGTACGGGTGTGGGTGTGATTATGAATGGAGAGAAGACACTCACACAGACATACCCACATCCAAATCAATATTATTTCTATTTTGAACTTTTTTCATTGAATTAACTTTGATCTTCAAAAGAACTATCAATAATGTTGAAGAAGTATAAAATAAAAAATGTATATTTTATTTTTGTTTTCGATGATGATAATTTAATATAAGTGAATGGTTATGTTGAACATAACCTATTGAATTTAGTATGATAAGATAATGATTCAATATGTTTCAATTAGAAAAATATGAAGATTAGTTAAAAATAAATTCTAAAGTTTTCTTGACAAAATATTGATATTTTTATAAAAAAGTAAAATAAAGTGTATTTATTGTGCAATGTAGATATTTTTCTTTTAATAATGAAAGAA